ATTTTCGAGAAGTGAAAGTAAATGGTCGAAAACTCATGTCCTTCAAGATTATAAAATCTTAACAAGCTTCCATTGAGTAGAATGTAATCTCTGATCAGCATTCATTTTTAAAATAACAAAGCAGTTATTATCATCCACTATTATAAAGCAATGAACATTAAGAAGCCATAATTATACTCGCTATCAATAATTTTATATGTGTATAACACATCAATTATTTGAATAAAATGGACATAGAAAATTTTAACTAGAAATATATGGTTTAGCGTTTCTTTGTGACAGTAGTTATGCCAAGTCATTAGTTAGAAAAAGCGTACAAAAGCTTCTTTGTGCAAGATAAATAATAAATATATTAGGGTCGCAAACCTAGAGTAAATTAGATTTTTGATCGAATAAATTTACTTCGACTTCAAGGGATTTTTTTGTAACTTCTCTTCGAAGAACATACAAATCGTATAATGATTTTTCGAAGAGCTCTTTCAAGCGATTTGCATCAATATCTTCTGAAGCCTTTTTCGCATTAAATGCCTTTGTTGTAAGCCTATCGATTAGTGCAACTCCATAATTTGACTAGAGGAAATGCAAAGTAAAGTGAAAAACTACCTGACTCATAGTTAAACAGGCAGCTACAGAATGGCAAATTCAAACACGAATAAATTTAATGCCTTTCAATTTTAGTACATATATATTGAATGTAATATTTAAATTTAGAGTGGATGTCGTACTTTTTAAAAAGTATTTTCTGCTTAGGCGCAATTGGTGAAATGTTCACGCGTTTGCGTCGTCTTGCTTCTTGGCCCAGGTTGTATCTTAAGGTTTGGGATTGTAACCTTCATTAACTCTTAAAAGCCTATTGTCTCAGCTTATTATAATCAGGATAATCTTCATCTCAATTATTCTAGAGGGGGTATTGCTTAAACTTTCTCTATTTTTAAGACTCAACTACATTATTACTTTCATTATTGTTATCTACATTTATATGCGCATATGCTGAAGAAATTAAAGAAAAGAAGAAAATATCTTTATCTGAAGTTGCTCTGCATAACCGAAAGGAAGTTGGGGTTTGGGTTATCTACAACCAAAAAGTTTTCGACATCACAAACTTTATAGATAATCATCCGGGGGGAGATAAGATTCTTCTTGCTGCCGGCCAAAACGTAGAACCATACTGGGATCTTTATGCTTTTCATAAAAAGGATGATATTTTGGATATCTTGGAACAATACTACATTGGTGAACTTGATGAGGCTAGTTTAAAAAGCTTAGTGTCACTCGTTTTCCCATAAGGCTGCTATGGTTTTACAGTGTATTTTTAATTTTGCAGCCGAAACATAAAATAAT